TTTTTAAGGTGTTACTGTAAATAGTATTTTTTAAAATTCCAAATTTCAGTTGTTCCTTGCTCCTATATAGGCATGCATTTGGCTTTTGTATGTTAACCATGTATCCTGCACCCTTGCTATACTTACCATATTTTGCTGTGTATAATGTGAACTTTTTTGCCCAAATTTGTGAGGGGAAAAATAAGGCTGCGCATTATACATGGGTAGTACTAATTCCATATCTATATAAATGTTTTTAATTCTTTTATTTATGCTTATGAGTTAACAGTGTAACTGTAGAAATCAATAATGATATTCGTATGCAAAATAATACCCTGGAATATGATAATCAGTTTTGTTGAACTTATAATGAACTTGCAACAACGAAGAGTTCTTGGCCTTTTATGATGTGTAAATATCATAAATTTGTTATCAGTACATACAATTTCTTGTATCATAATATGTTAAAAAATGAATGCTAAAATTCCTTTATAATACAACAAAAAAAAGTTCCTACATGTAAACAAATAATAATTTGAATTAAAAAATTAAAACAAAAGATTTTTTTCCCCTGAAAGCTTGGGCCAAAAACGTGGGTATGCAGTATACATGGGAGCGCATTACACATGTCAAAATACGGTACTTTTCCATTTTGGGGGGTCAACTTTTGGGGATTTTATACACTGGAAATCATGTCATTGTAAGTAGAGACAGTCTTATTTCTTCCTTTCCAAAAAGTCTCCTTTTATTTCCTTTTGTTTTACTGCACTAATGAGATTTTCAGTACTATGTTGAATAGGAGTGGTGAGAAAAGACATTCTTTCCTTGATTCCAATCTTTGGGGGAAAGGAATCCAGTTTCTCATCATTAAGTTAGCTGTAGGTATTATGTAGATATTCATAATCAAATTGAAGAAGTTCCCTTGTAATCATAGTTTGCTGAGAGTTTTTATCATGAGTAGGTGTTGGGTTTTAGCAAATGCTTTTTTTGCATCAATTGATACGATTATATGATAATTCTTTGTTGATGTGGATTACATTGGTTAGTTTTCAAACCTTGAACCAGCCTTGCATACTTGGATAAATCTCACTTGGCCATTGTATATTATTCTTTTCGTACCTTGTTGTATTCAATTTGCTAATATTTTGTTGAGGATTTTTATGTCTGTGTTCACTAGCAATATTGGTTTGTAGTTTTCCTTTCTTTTAGTTTTTATCTACATATACCAATATTTTGGTATTAGAGTAATACTGGTCTTATGAAATGAGTTAGGAAGTGTTTCCTCTGCTTTTTTCTGGAAGAGATTTTAGAGAATTGGTATCATTTCTTCCTTAAATGTTTGATAAAATTTACCAGTGAAGTCATCTGGACCTGGTGATTTATTTTGTGGAAGGTCACTAATTATTGGTTCAATTTTTGTTTATAGACGTAAGGCTGTTCGGGTTATCTATTTATCCTTGTGTGAATTTTGGTAGTTTTTGTCCTTCAAGGAGTTGTCTAGTTCATCTAAATTTTCAAGTTTGTGGGCAGAGTTGTTTATAATAT